CTCATCAAGATAACATTAGGTTGATGAAATTCAACATTCAAGAGTGGAATGAGGATGAAATTCATCATTGAAAAGCTCCTAAATAATTTGAGGTAAATGATACTAAAAGTTTTTTTAATAATTAAATATATCTTTATTAAATACATATCTAATATTACTGTGTTTTTGTAAAATATGTAGATATAAATTATAGTAAAACTTAATGCTATTTATTTCTTTTTTTACAGATTTTCCACAAGTCGATGGATGCATACAGTTCCAAAGCAGTAGATTGTAGATTTATCCGTTTGATGATGTTCCTTCTGTTCATCAGCGGATTTCAAAATTTTTACATTTAAGCAAGTAAGAAATTCCAATGAGCCTCTGTGTTATATTTTAATGGTTCCTTATTATAATTGACTATTTCAGAGACCATCTATTTTTTACTTAGGCCAATTTTGCATTTTATCTTTTTTTTACTTAGAATTTTACTTCATGTTGCTGGTTTACTTTCATTTCTTTATAATAGCTTGACTGCCATATTTCCTTCATTGTGGCAAGAATATAATTTTTCAATTCTTTGCAATATTCCATTGACTATTTTTGTAAGTCATTTTTATTTGTATTTTTTTTATTGAGTTATTTTTCTAATACTTTTTTTCTTGTGCAGTTCCTTATACAGAGATAGTTTTGGTGGATTCATTTTCATGTCATTTTCAGATAATATGCCATGAATTGCCATAATTTTACGGATTCTGTTCCCATTTTCTGTTGATTCATTTTCATTCTGTTGATTTGGTTTGCCTGTGTGTCAATATAATTTAAACACAATAATAATACACTTAAAAATCTCCAAATAAACTAATTTCCCATTAATTCCTGGCGCATTCGCCATTCATTCAAAAAACCTGATGTCTAATATGTCGTTCTGTTTTTCCTAGCATTTTTTCCAATGAATTTTCCTGAGTAACATCGACTCCAGAGCATCATAGCTAGTCCCCCCAAAGAGGAGGAGACCCGGGTCGCCCCCTAACCCTGATGTTCGGGCATCGATGACCTATGTAGCATGCAAAGGTACCCAAGGGAGTCACCACCCTCTGGTTTACGAGCTAGGTGTTCTAACGCTAGAGGCTTCGGCCGGATCTGCTTTAAACCGAGAACTTCTTCGTTACGTATTCCGGCGGCCCTCGAAGAGTAGGGGCGGATATCGGACACATTGAAGATGAGGGAATTCCGCCTGTAGGGGTCAGTGGATGTCCGCTCGATGGGTGACGAGGGTGACCCGAGACGAGGCTGCTTAGCTGGGATGGGAACTGACTGGTGAGGCTTAATCGTCGGCCAAGGGTCAAATCTGATGAAGGGGGGCGAACTTATATGCTCTGGAGGATTTTTCTTTATGTGCTTTAGTCAAATTTTGACTAGATATTCTTTGGAGGTGGCTAAGCATTACTTTTTGTCAGTTTTTCTATTGACCACATCCTTCTCTATTTTGTATTATCATCTAATACTTCTTGCTTTTGCCTACCTCGCTCTATTTTTTTCTGTCATATTTTCTTTATTTTTGGAATATCATTCATCAATTCTATATATTATGCTCTTCTAACCACTGACTTATATATTTGTTTATTTTTCTGCCATTTTCCCCAGTTCATCTTCTCTTTCGCTATTTCTCTCCCATATTTTCTTCATTACGAGGATGCCATCATTTATCAATCCTCTTAACTCTTCCATTGGTTGTATTTCTCTAACTTTTTATATATATTTGTATACATTTTTTATGTCATTCTTCAGAGACTCTTCTAAGATATATTTCGCCATTTCTATGACTTGTATAGAATATAGTTTTTTTAATTTATTTTCATATAGTAAGTAGTTTTTTAAATAATTTTCCCAATGCATCATATCTCTATTTCATTATTTGTCTCCCGTATTTTCTTCTTAGCTTTATTTTTCTCCCATATTGTATTGATTCTGGAGGGGTGCAAAGCTAGTTCGCCTCCTCGTGGTGCACCCTGGATAACGCTAAATGAACTAGCAAATACTGGCAGTCGACAATCCCCAGATTTCCTGACCATAGGACACATTTCACTAAGTTTCACTTTTCTTTAAGAGATATGATGCTATCAAACAAGGATAACAGTGTTTTTCTTTATTATTTTCTTCTAATTGATTGTATTTCTAAATCTCTTCTATTATGTGTATTATTGTTTATTTTACTGCTATCCTTCTAAGACTTTCAAGTCTTTCATTTCATTTATTTTGGTGCCTTCCTGGAATTGTATGGTTTTGAAGTTATTTTCTAATTACTTTCTTTCTATTCCGTTTCTAATTCTTTTTAAAATTGAGTTTTTCATTGGGATATTGTACTGCTTTGGAACAAGGATTTTTTGGAAGAACTGTATTCCAAGTAGACCACCCTCACCAAGATGACATTATGTTGATGAAATTCAACATTCAAGAGTGGAATAAGGATGAAATTCATCATTGAAAAGCACCTGAATAATTTGAGGTAAATGATACTAAAAGTTTTTTTAATAATTAAATATATCTTTATTAAATACATATCTAATATTACTGTGTTTTTGTAAAATATGTAGATATAAATTATAATAAAACTTAATGCTATTTATTTCTTTTTTTACAGATTTTCCACAAGTCGATGGATGCATACAGTTCCAAAGCAGTAGATTGTAGATTTATCCGTTTGATGATGTTCCTTCTGTTCATCAGCGGATTTCAAAATTTTTACATTTAAGCAAGAAAGAAATTCCAATGAGCCTCTGAGTTATATTTTAATGGTTCCTTATTATAATTGACTATTTCAGAGACCATCTATTTTTTACTTAGGCCAATTTTGCTTTTTATCTTTTTTTTACTTAGAATTTTACTTCATGTTGCTGGTTTACTTTCATTTCTTTATAATAGCTTGACTGCCATATTTCCTCCATTGTGGCAAGAATATAATTTTTCAATTCTTTGCAATATTCCATTGACTATTTTTGTAAGTCATTTTTATTTGTATTTTTTTTATTGAGTTATTTTTCTAATACTTTTTTTCTTGTGCAGTTCCTTGTACAGAGATAGTTTTGGTGGATTCATTTTCATGTCATTTTCAGATATGCCATGAATTGCCATAATTTTACGGATTCTGTTCCCATTTTCTGTGGATTGATTTTCATTCTGTTGATTTGGTTTGCCTGTGTGTCAATATAATTTAAACACAATAATAATACACTTAAAAATCTCTAAATAAACTAATTTTCCATTAATTCCTGGCGCATTCGCCATTCATTCAAAAAACCTGATGTCTAATATGTCGTTCTGTTTTTCCTAGCATTTTTTCCAATGAATTTTCCTGAGTAACATCGACTCCAGAGCATCATAAGCTAGCCTCCCTAAGAGGAGACCAGGTCGCCCCCTAACCTGATGTTCGGGCATCAGCCTGTGCTTGTAGCATGCAGAGGTACCCAGAAGTCACCACCCTCTGGTTTTACGAGCTAGGTGTTCTAACGCTAGAGGCTTCGGCCGGATACGACCTGGCACCCAAGCTGCGAGACCAGCTTCGTGCACGTATCCCGTGACGTCTCGACAGTAGAGGGGCGGGATATCAGTTATTGAAGATGATGAGGGGTCCGCCTGTAGGGGTCCCCGGTGGATGTCCGTCCGACGGGTGGCAGAGTGACCCGAGACGGGCTGCTTAGCTGGGATGGGGAACTGACTGGTGAGGAAGCAATCGTCGGCCAAGGGTCCGTCTGATGAAGGGGGCGAATTGCCTTGCTCTGGAGGATTTTCTGTATGCGCTTGAGTCATATTTTTGACTAGATATTTAGTATAGGTGGCCAAGCATAATCTTTAGTAAATTTTCCAGTTTTTATTCTACATACTTTCTATTTTTTAGTATCATCTAATACTTTTCTTCACCTTCCTTTTGGCCTACCTCTCTATTTTTGTCTGCCATATATTCTTTATTATTGGAATATCATTCATCAATTCTATATATTATGCTCTTCAACGACTGACTCTTCCATTCTGATTACTTCTGACTACTCTTCTAATGACTGTCTTATAATATATCTGTATATTTTTGTGATTCTATTCTATTGTCTGTCATTTTACCCACTCTCTGCATTATTTATTTCACTTTTTTCTCTCATATATTCTTCCTTATGGGAATGTCTTCTTCAATTCTATGAACTCTTCTTTTGATTGTATTTATAAGTCTTAAGTATAGTATAATTGAATTTTAATTACCCATACCTCTAATTCTTTATTTTTCTACCATATTATCTTAATTCTATGAAAATTATTATTTTATGTATTTCTGAATTATCAGTGATCATTTACTTGTATCATTTTTTGTATCATCTCGTTATATGTCAAGACTTGTCCAAGGTATTTTATTTCTATTGTCATTATAGAGTTGTAATTTTGGAATAATTTTCAATCACTTTTTTCAATTAATCGTACCATACAGAAAAAAAACTTAATTATTCTTAAATGTAATTTATTTTTTGCCTTTTGTGTTTGTACTTATAAATCTCTTTATTTATATAATTGTTTATATTACTGCTATTCTCCCTCTAAGGCTTCCAAGTCTTTCATTTCTATTGATGCTTACATAGAATTTATAATTTTGGAATTATTTCTAATTGATTTTATCATCATTTTGTTTCTATATCCATTTAAAATTGAGTTTTTGGATGCAATATTGTACTGCTTTGGAACAAGGATTTTTTGGGACAACTGCACTTCAACCACCCACTTCAAGAGGCCATCAGACTGATTAAATTCAAGATTTAACAGTGGAATGAGGATGAAATTCATCATTGAAGAGGAAACTAATTAATTTTTGGTAAATTACTAAAATGTGTATTTTTTAAGATCGAATATGTTTAATTAATACCCAATAATTATTGTCTGTTAGCTTGTAAAATATGTAGCTATAAATGTTTAATTTTAAATAAAATATTTTGGCGCTCAATTTACTTTAGTTTATGCAACTATAAATTACATCATTTATAATTTTTGTTCTAGCCAGAAATACCTTAACGTGTATAGAGTTGCCCTAGACTTAATTTTAATTCATTTTAATTTTTATTATTTTTAAATATTTCTTAATTACCAATACAACTAACTTAACCATATTTTTTTTTTGTTAAGTTAAAAGTTATACCGTATGATGGAAAATACTGCGTTCGGTTGGTTTGGAAATGATGATTGATGACATTCCCCATATACTTTTACATAGAAGATGACAGCCATATGACAGCAATCTTCATTTCATAGCCATCGTTGACCCCGTTTTTTTTCGATCATGTTGTAATCAGTGTGTTAATTATTTTCTTTATTTTTCTTACAGATCCAAGATTTTCACAAGGGTAGCCGGAAAATTTAAAGCCTCATGTTGTCAGCATCTCCATGGACCTTGTTTTAATATAGTTAATACAAACTAATATGTTATTAATAAGAGTCGTTAAAAATAAATGAGTTTTATTCAAAATATATTTCGAAATACCGTCTAATCACGTAACAAGGTTGTTCAGGAATAGACGTATTTACATATAAAAATAATAGCTACTTTTACCTCCTCACTCTTATGCACTCCTACTACAAATCCCTGGTATTTCAACCTAGCAAAATTGCGCCAGAAAAAATTTAAAAGTATATACCTCTTCGCTCTATGCATTCCTGATACAAATCCGAGAAAATTCAGCTTTTAACAAAAAACAAAAATTAACGAACATTTTTCACCTTGTCCAAAATGATGATTTTTATCAGGAACATATAAATGTGAAGAGATAGTATTTACCTAGTCGCACTCATGTACTCCTGATACAAGTCCGAGAAAATTCACTTTTTGACAAAGACCGCACGAAAATTTTTAAACCTGCTCAAAAACCGCCGATTTTTATTAGGACTGCATAAGGGTGAAGAGATAAACCGTAAATTTAGTACCACATGTAAATATAGCGTTAATCAACGATATTTTTGCTATCTCTAGCAATTCGACCTCGTTGGAAAACTTCAACCCCTAATATCTCGGAAACTATAAGGGTTAGAGGGAAACGGAACAGCGCTTTCGATAGGCATTTCAACCCTCTATAAGGGCGCAAGATAAGGGCGAGATCGGAAACAAAAAATTTTTTGGCGAAAAATGAGGTAAGGGGTTGTTAACCTTACTTCATTTTTGCCGAGAAAATTTTTTTGTCTCCGATCATCTCCTAATTTTGCACCCTTATAGAGAATTGAATTCCCTATCGATTGCCGTCTTCCGTTCCTCGATATCTCTTTAGTTTAGAAGTTATAGCCGTTTTTCCAAAAAATCTAACTGTTCGAGCTCGTTGGTCAGGTTCTCCAAAATTTGCTGGTCAGAAATTATTTTGGGCAACTTTTGTTAAAATGAGGGATCTGGAATTATTTTCAGCAACATATGAGAGCGAGGAGATATATTTTGATACCAGGGAGTAAGCAGTTACATTCACCATTTAGTTGAAAATTTTTGATCTAAATATCTGAGCATTTACCAAGTCAAATATGCTCTGATAAACTTTCTTTTGGTCTCTCAAAATATTGGATTTTGAAGGATAGGCTATATATTATAGAATACTGTCCATTCCAGAACAACTTTTGTTAAGTAGTTTAATATTAGAATATATTGCGATAATTAAATGGCATTTTCTATATGTTCACGAATAGACAGTATAATATATTTTAGTCCAATAAAACTCATTTATCATTAATTATTATTTATTAATATATTATATTTTATTAACAACAGTAATATTAAAAGTATTTTCAATCCAAGGTCTTGATGGACATGCTACATGCTGATGTGTATATTGAGGTGAATAAATCTTCTGGCCATACTTCTGGAAAGTCTCCGTTCTGTAAGAAAAATAAAAAGATATAATTAATTAATTGTTCACTAACAAGTTTGATTAAAAGCTGTTACATCTATGACTTTAAATAACTAGTAAATTGGTAGGGTACATGTAGAATGTGGAATGAGTGGGAGTTATAACTCATCATATAAGGGGATTTTCATGTTGTAGGGGGGACAGGGTAGTTCCCATCCTCCTCTTACAACAGATGTTCTTCCTCCAAGGAGTGGACATCTACCTCCTCGGAGGGTATACATCATTTCACGATGGGGATTGGCCATCTGAGATCTTCACAATCCAGAAGCTTATCTCCGGCTGAGATACCCGTAAGGTGGAGGTTGGAGGATCTGTCTCCATTTTCTCCACCTCTTTAACTTGGTCTCTCCTTAGACCTGATACCACTGTTATCCCGCATCTATAATAGAGGATATATCCCATTTTCTCTATGAAACTAACCTCCTTGGAAAAAACTTGGTTAAATTAGCTGTTTTTGTAATTAAGAAATATTTGAATTATTATAATTAACAAACTGTTACAAATAAATTACAAAATGTTTATCATCTTATAGGCGATACACAGTTAAAAGTATTTATAGTCGCCTTAAACTAAAGAAAATCAGATGATAAACTATAATTATTTGAAATTAATCATATATTTTACAAAATACAATACGAGGTTGAATATATTTGTTAAAAAAACACCCTTGAGTACAATTTACCTAAAGTTATTTAGTTCCTCTTCATGATGAATTTCATCCTCAATCTACTGTTGAATGTAATCAACATAATGGCATCTTGAAGACAGAGTGGTTGAATTGAAGTGCAGCTGTCCTGGTGCATTGTTGTTAATATGATATTCACCAAAAGG